CTCTCTGGAGCATTAGTTTTCAAAGTATATATTCCAAGGGCTTGTAAAACACAGAGTGCTAGACTCCACCCCAGCATTTCCAAACCAGTAGATCTAGGGTCCTGACATACCTGGGAATTTTCATTGCTCACAAGTTCCCAGGTGATGCTTATGCTGCTGGTCTTGGTCCATACTTTAAACACATTGCCTTTCTCAGCTGGCTCTGAGATGATTCTCTGTGTAAAAATAACCCCAGCCACTAATTTTGGGTAAGGGAGACACCTAGAGGGGGGTTTTAACTGCTGCTTATTCACAAGATAAAAATTGGTGTCTGAATGTCCAGTTTTGCTGCTCATGAGGGACTGAGGTCCTAAAGATAATTGGGCCAAAAACTGAGATGGCCTAAAAGTCACTCCTGGTTTCATCTCCTTTGCGAGTGTGGAGGTCATGCTTGTATTAAACATATTCACAGAGGACGCTGTATTAGGGCAGAACCTAAAAAGATGAAGGAGGATGTTTTGTCTTATTCTTAGATGTGTGGACTGTACCTACATTGAGGAAATTTAGAAGGATGTCACACCCTATGTCTCCTCCACAAAAGCTCTTTAGACACTGACATGCTTACACATGTTCTTCACCGTGTCTTGTTCTGGTCTAGACTATTGTGAGAAGACCTTGCATCACATGTGATGAGCCTGTCAGCATCACACATTTTGCAACACAAAAGCCACTTAATTCACCCCCTCACAGCAAGTCTTCTAAGCACCTGCCATGCTCCCGAAGCTCAGCCCTGAACAGCAAAATATACAGAAATGAAGTTATATTCCAGAGGAAGAGACAGACAACAAGCCAACAGATGTAATCACTCATTAGTTATTGCTACAAATAAACCACCTCAAATTTAAAGCAATTGTTTATTTTTAGGTCAAATACCTGCCGATCAGCTGAGCTGGGCAGATTCTGCTGAGCTTGTTCAAACATCTTTGGGTCCATGAGGGGCTCATCTTTCCTCCTAGGACCAGCGGGATAGCCCACAAATGCTCTTTTCGAGGTATCAGTAGCAGTGCTTGCGAGAGCAAGCTAAAACACAGAGGGTTTCCTAGGACCTGGGCTTATAACTGGCACTCCATCCCTTCTGCTTCATTTCATTAGTCACAGAAGTTGCATGGCTAAACCCAAAGCCAAGGGGCAAAGGGCAGACATGCAGGTTGGAGTGAAGAATTGAGATGATAACGTAAGCCACAGTGTGTAGCAGAAGGTCAAGTAACATAGAGGGCCGTGAAGAAACACAAAGCAGTGTTTGTGGCTTAAGAGTGATCAGGAATGCTACTTGTGGTCAGCATTTTGGTAGCCAGGTAGACTTACAGGATGGTGTATTGTCATAATCTTGGTTATTTTTAGCAGGTGTTCCCATTGTAGGGAGTGAGCTGTTAGCATTAAGGTATGTTGCAGTGCTGTATGATATGGGCTTCCCTGCATGCATGTGGATCCCCGTTATCTAGGTCCCCAGGCGCGCCTAAGTGCTGTGTTGTTGCAAAAGGGTTCCTAGCTGGATTAACGCTGCTCTATACAAATGCTTCATCATAGCAGCACATTGAAAGCATAACAAATTTTGAATACATTGTCTCTGCTAGACTGCATGCTGGTCACCCCCTCCCTCTACACACACACACCCATGCGCTTGTACACATACACAGGGGAACATGCACACACTCACACAGTCAGAACCACCCACTCTGGAATGTCTTCATCAGCATCAGCCAAGGACAGGAAACAAGCTCAACCCTTGGCACCCACAGGAGGCAGCTGCTGGCTGTTGGATTATTCCCTCAGTGCCAAAGCTAGGCTGATGCCTCTGGAAAAGGGGTGTGAACCTCGAATGTGTCTAAAGGCGAACACAGCTTCTCGAGGAGCCCACAGATGCTGCAGCATCTGGGGCTTGGTCGGTAGATGATACAGGTGGGTGGTGAAGTGGGGATACCTAGGAATCAACTTTAGTATTTATTTGCCACATCAATCAATTCATCAGCCAAAATAGCCCTAATAGGCAACTAAATAAAAAGCAAAGCAAAACAAACAAGAATGGATTTCTTCTTCAGAAGCTTCTTATCATTAAAATGAAATAATTTTTTCTTCCATCGTCATTGGACAAAATACGTTCTCTCATTCTTTGGTAAAATACAGGTTTTCTGAAAGTTGAGAGGAATAGATTGATAGAGGGGAAGAGAAACATCAATATTTACAACAGTCCTGGGAGTGCTATTATGTTATGATTTCCATTTTATTGATGACAAACTGAGTCTTAGGGTACAAAAGAGACTTTCTTCATATAAGTAGAATCTGAAGATCTCAATTCAGGTCTTATCTTTCTGACAAATCTTTTCCCACCTTAGTAGGCTCAGCATGTTTGGAACCTCATGGGATTACGGAAGTGAGCCTCAGTGCTTAAGAAGACTCCAGAAATCAACTTCTCTCATTCCTGGAAAGCCAATCTGTAGGGACTGAGGCAAGGAAGGAATAAAGACTGGCTTGTTGGGCACACCCACTTGGAATCAGGCGAGGTTTACTGGAACCACTCTGCCTGCCAGTAGAACAGCCCAGGACAAAAGCCCAGGACCTTAGCAAATGCCTAAGCAGGACTTTGCAGGGGCCAGAGTCAGCAGGATTTTGACCGGATGATATCCACCTTTATTGGTAACATCAGAGTCATGAGGTCTTTCATGGCCTGAGCATCACAACCTCTCATTATTAGTCATACTGCCAATAGCCTCCTTTTATATATGGTTCATGAATTTGAGGACAAACCAGAGAATTGTCCTTGGCCAAACCAAGCTAACTCATCCAAGATTTTCCCCCTCTTTGGGTAAGTACTGGGGCAAAAAGCACATCCAGGGAAACTAATCAATCTGACACTGGAAAGTAAATGTTCCAGTGTTGAAGGGACATGACACTTTTCACATGGCTCATGGGCTGGATGTACTCACACTGCCTCACCCCAGCAACATGGGGGCCAGCGAGTACAATCCTACCATGATCCCAAAAGGGGGGAAAACTGGAAATATTTGGTAAGCAGCACTAAGGACAGGGGATGGGAAGACCACAGAAGGCCAGCAGAACTGTGAAATTGTCCTTAGAAGGCAGCCTTGGACATTCCCTTCTCTGAGGGACTGCTTCTCTTGACTGAGCTGCTGCAGATGGAAACCTGGCTAGATCCCCATCTTCTGCAGTCTAGCGCCTCATTGTATTTTATCACCTCCCAAGCTGTCCTCTGCTCTCTTTCCCTATCACTGTGTCACTAAGCCATGGTCTCAGTTCATCTGGCCCTGAATGACAAGATGGCACTTTCCCTGGAATGGAGAAAAGTCTGGATATTTCAGGATGCCTTGATTTGAAGCCTGTTTGACTCTAGAGTTCTCTGGTTTACTCCCACCTGTGGGAAATGTGAGGATAGATCTCCACACAGGGGTTCCAAAGTGTCATGATCTGCAACATCATCTGTCAAACCATATTAGTCAGAGGCTCAGGGCTGGATGGTCCTCTTTAGGCAAGGAAATGAGTGGGTGAAGCAGCAAGATTCACCTTTCCCAGTTTTATCTGGGGGTTGTTTTGCCAACATTGCCATCTGTTGGGCCAGTGCTGGCTATGGCAGCCAAGCCTCAGATGTTACTGCATCTTTATCAATGACCTTGGGACCACAGGAGATGACCTTGTGACCAAATAGCAACAAATGAAGGATCTTAAAAAGCACATCACTTTATATTTATTCAGCGGATGTGTCTTCACTTAATCCTTACCACAACCTTATGAGTTCTGTACAATTTGTATTTTCATTTCACCTGCGAACAAATGGAGACAGTTCGAGTAACTTACAAGTAAGGGGCAGATGTGGGGGCTGTGCCTAGATAATGTGGCTCCAGACTCCTTGCGCCTCCCCACCTTCTGCTGCATCTTGGCGAAGTCTAGCCATCTCTTCCTTTAACACACACTAATTTCTGTCTCCATGTTCCAGGCCCTGTGCCAGATGCTGGAAATACATCCCAGTCCACTGGATCTTGGCATGGTCCATCACTCAGTGTCCTGCTGTATTACCTGTTACATAATGCGTTTATTCCAGTATGCAGCCCCATGGAAAGTGATGCTGAAATACATTGTATACATGTTTCTACAACAAAACTATGTAACTTACGCTTCTCTTATTGCTTTGGCTATCAGGGAGCTCAAATCCAAATCAGAGCAAACACATTAGAATTCGGGTTTGTCATTTTGGTTTGCTGAACTTTTTCTTCTGGCCCAGATTTTCTATTTTGGTTCATAAATTCTATTGCACAAATGTCCTTTATTGTAAAACACCTTAAATTCTTTTTAAAGGAAGGCTGCATGGAAATGATGAAGTAAGGTCTTCTCTGTATATTCTTAGATTCCTACCAGGGAAGGCAGACCTAGATGTCCCTGTTACCCTCATAGTACCCCATGTATAAAATCTCTTAAGCAGTGACTACTGCTGTTCTGAGTACCTGGGGGTAGTTCAGAGCTTCTGAAAGGTAACATCTACATAGAAAAAAGAAGTTTCCTCCAATCCAGATCCCAGCTTTGGTGCCAGATGCACATTTGTGGAGTAGGTGGCTAGTCAGACTCTCACCTGAGCGGTTAATAAAATCTATTGCCCCTTGATGGAATTTTTTTCTGCAAGCTAGAATTGATCTGTCCTCTTTGTGATTTGTGACATGGCAGGAAAACACCAAACACCATTATGACTTGAGCCACAATGGTGGGGGAAGAAAAGGAAAAAAAAAGAAAAAGAAAATCCACTGCCAAGGCTTGCCAGGCGTAGAAAGGGCTGGAACTGCTGGGGTCATTTTATTTGATTTATTGGAAATAAAGTGGATCTTATTAACATTTTAATAAAGAGAATCTTTTTGCACTAGGCTGGAAGTGGCCACCAGTCCCCCGTGCAATTCCATTCTCTGGAAAAGTGGAATTCGCTGGCATTGCCCAGCGTGATTTGTGAGGCTGGGCCCCAGCAGTCCAAAGAAGCAAACGGGCTCCCACCTCCGCGGGGCTCGCTCCTCGCGAGGTGTTCACCTCGTATCTGCCATGCAAAACGAGGGAGCGTTATGAAGGAATCCGTCTTGTAAAGCCATTGGTCCTGGTCATCAGCCTCTACCCAATGCTTTCGTGATGCTGCTGCTGATCTATTTGGGAAGTTGGCTGGCTGGCGAGGCAGAGCCTCTCCTCAAAGCCTGGCTCCCACGGAAAATATGCTCAGTGCAGCCGCGTGCATGAATGAAAACGCCGCCGGGCGCTTCTAGTCGGACAAAATGCAGCCGAGAACTCCGCTCGTTCTGTGCGTCCTCCTGTCCCAGGTAGGGAAGAGGGGCTGCCGGGCGCGCTCCGCGCCCCGTTTCTGCATTCGGATCGCCAGGCACAGGCAGGGTGAGGGGGCTTTCGCGGGGTCGGGGCCTCTGGTCGCCGCTGCAAAGACAGATCGGGGCTCGGAAGGGAGGTCATTCTGAGCCCAGAGATCCTGGGCACCCCCTTCCGCCCCCACCGGCTCCCACTCCGGCGTGTGTGTGTGTGTGTGTGTGTGTGTGTGTGTGTGTACGTTCACGGGAGGAGGAGAGAGCTCCTAGACCTTTTTTGCTAGCAGGGGCGACATTCTCGCCCACATCAAGTGGGGTAACTTTGGTTCCCTCCTCCGGAGGCTCCGTGCATTGGAGAGAGACTCAGTTGGAGGCGACTCCAGTGAGCCGCGGTTTCCCCCAGCCCAACGCCCAGCGGCGGAAGCGCTGCTTGGGTCCGAATTGCGGGCTGCGGGGCTGAGGGGCTGGAGAGGCCGAGCAGGCACCGCCGACTTCCCGGGTGGCCCGGGCCCCCTGGCACAGCCCGGCCGCGCGCTGGAAGGCGCCTCGGGGCAGCAAAGAGCCGCAGCCCGGCTGCTGCTGTCGCTCAAAGGCGCCGGCGCTGGCCGCACCCGCATCGGGGTCCTTTTGCTCGCAAACCCCGGGCTCGAAAGGGCCGGAGCGCGTCCCCCGCCAGGGCTCAGGCCCCAGCCCCCCGCACCCCTATTGTCCAGCCAGCTGGAGCTCCGGCCTGATCCCGGCTGCCGCCTCTGCTGCCTTCCCTGGGCGGGAGCGGAGCGCAGAGAAAAGTTCAAGCCTTGCCCACCCGGGCTGCAGCTGCCTGTTAACCCTCGGAGAGCTTCGGCGCGAAGGAAGGGCCCGCCAACCCGGAGAAGGGGCGAGGGAGACGCGGTCCGCCTGCAATCCCCGATGCGTCTTGGAGATCTCGGGAAGTTTGATCGCAGGAAAGCAGGGCTCTGAAGCCAAGCCTGGGGTGCTGGCGGCTGCGGGGCACGCCCAGCACTGCTCCGGGGCCTGTGGTTTCGGAGAGTACCCCGACCCAGTCCTCCATCGCCTCCCAGGCAGGCTTTGGGACTCGGAGTGAGCTGGCAGCCTGCAAGTGGGTGGATAGGAGCCAGGGCAGGGCAAGGCCAGGCAGAGAGGAGGGAAAGAGACAGGGAGTACCTCGGGGTGCTAATGTTGGGTTCCGGGGCCAGGGATAGAGGCTCCTGTGTGAGTTCCTGGGTGAGGGTTGGGGCCCTAGGTGGGGACTGTCTGGGACGGGGACATTGGTGCAGCCTTCTAATGTGAGACCACTGCTGGAGCAATGTTGGGGTTAGACTTTGAAAATGGGCCAACATCTCAGAAATGTAGTGATGAGTGATGGAGGAGGAGATTATCGTGCCTGGCTGGGCTGCTGAGCCTGCTCCCATGCTTCCTGACTTCTTTATTCCTTGTATATACAGTCCCCATTGAGGGCTGCCCAGTTATAGCTCCTTTTCTACCAGGCATTGCGAGTGGATTATCTTGGGGTCCTTACAGCCTGGAGTCTTGCCATGGAATACGAAGCCTGGCTGTGAACCAGTTTCCCAGATGTCCTGTACCGGAACGACCCCTAAGGCTGTATATGTGTACATATATCCCAATTTAGCAATGCAGTTTGGAGCATGCCTCAGACTAAAAGGATTCAGATCCTTCCTGCCATCTGCTAGTGGTACCACCCGGGGCAAGTTGTTTAACCTCTTTGAGCTTCCAAGTTCTCCACTGTAAAATAATCTGCTGCCTTCCTAGGACTGCTGTGAGGATAGGATTGCATTCAACAGGATATTCTATGCAACGCATGCTGCCCTGGGAGCATTGGTGTCTGAGAGCACCTCCCATTGCCTTGTACAGAACTTCACAGTCCTTTTTCTCTCTTGGCAGGTTTTTCAGTTCCGATTCCAGGGCTTGCCCAAAGTTATGCCTCCTTTAGAGCAAGATAGACCACATGACAGGGCCCCAAGATCGATCTTGATGCACTAGGGACTCTCCACATGGTTCTTTTTGCAAATGAACTGATATGTCTCCTCACCCAGGGCCAGGTTGGCACATGTGGCTTCTGAAGACTCACTCTATTTATTTAGAAGAAGGAAGCAGAGATTTTGCTGTGAATTGAAATGATTGCCCTAAGAGGCTTATTTCTAATTTAAATCGTTATGCGTATCAGAGCAAAAGTCCACATTAGGATAGTAATTGATATCCTGGTAACAATAGTACCTCCCAGAAAAATCATTTTGATGCAATCCAGTTAACCAGCGAGAAGTTCAAGGGCAGAGCTCTGTGAGCCATAGAAAAAAGTGGGGAACATCTTGGAGGCTTTGAGTTGTACAAGCAAAAACAAAACTTTCCTGGGGCAGAGAGAAAACAGAAGAAAGGGAAAAACAGTGTAATAAAGCAAATTAGTCACTCAGCCCTGGTGGTGTTCAGGCAAGCCTGTATGTTTTTTTCCACTGCAGCTGTAATGCATTGGGTCCGACTTTGGAAGCCATCAATCTCTGTAAGCTTATTGGCTTGGTTGCTGTTTAGGCATTTTGGTAGGAGGCGAGGAATTCTAAGCAACAATGACTGGAAGCTGGCACAGTTGAACAGTCACCTCTCCTATCCCCTAGGGTGTTTTGGGAAAGTCTGTCCCAGAAGTGGCCTCTGGAATTTGGCTACGATAAATAATGAGTGTGAAACAAATCAAGAAAGAAATGAGCTAGAAATTCCGTGGTAAATATGATTCTCCTCCCTATTTGGGTAGCACTTACAGCTAACCAAAAGTTCTAACAATGAGTGAGTAATCCCCCAAGAATTAGGAATTTAGGGAGTAGTTCAGGTTTGGAGGGCAGTCACTTGGAAGTGACTAAAAATGTTCCACGGAATTATGAGATTTCGTTATAAAGTGAGGAGTTCTCCCTTGGAGTCAGAATCTTGATTTTCAGCATTTTAAATGAGAGTCAGTGTCTTGTAATGCTCCTGCAAATTTGTGTGTTATGTTTTAAGAACTGTGTTTATTTGCGGAACCTTTTGGATAAGGAAAGAGACACAGGGTTGAAGAGAGTGCTGCCCCCTGCCACTTAAGGTCAACACGTGACAGCCTGTAAGATTTTCAGAGTAGTAGTGAAATGGAATGGAATACATAGTGAAAGGAGGCAGTGATACAGTTCACCTGTCTGAATATTCTTTTTTAGCAAGTCCCAAAACAGGTTTAATAAACTGCGTGAGTTGAGTAAGTAATCTGGAATTTGTGAAATTCCACAGTCTGTACTAAAAGCCCCAACAGTCATTTTAGCTAATCTCTTCTACTCTGCCTTCCTCCCTTCTCCCCTTTTCTATTTTTAGCCCTTGGGTTTTCTATTAAGTAAAATCTATTTCCTTCCAGAAGTTTCCTATATGTGTTACAGTGAAATTGCTCAACAAACCGACGTACCCTATAACTGCATTATCTAAAAGTATCAGCACCTAGATGTGTAAATTGAGCCTCAATCTGAAGTTCAATGTTTAAGTTAAAGTATAGCTAGGTTCTTGAAAACATCCTTATTTCCTTCCAAAAATACAGTTGCTTGGGGAGTCTAGTTAATTCATGTTTAGTGTAAGGTAAGGAAAAGGACAAACTATGGATTTAATTTACACCTGCATGACAGTCATATCATCTAAGTAGTCAACAGTGTTTCTATGTGCATGTCTGAGTGTGTATATCTCTGTGCGTTTTGATCTTATTGTAATACCTGTTGAAAAATTTCTCCAGAAGAGGGCTCCATCCACAGCATTACAAAATTCTGAATCTACAGCTCATATTTTAAAGAACTTCAATGTAGCAATTCTATCAAAACGTAACTATTCTCCTTATGCCCCATTATTTTCCACAAGCACCTCCAAATAAGAAATCCTACTCGCTTTCTTTCCCTTCCTTCCTTCTCCTCTTTTTCTTTTTTTTTTCTCTTCTGTTGCTTTCTCGCTAGATTTCTTCTTGCTTGCTTGATTTCTTCTTTTTTCCCCTATTGTAGTTGGTTCTGTTCTAATTCATTCTTCAATTCTGTATCTCCTCTGAGTATTGGAGCAGGGAACATTTCAAAGACCTTTGTAGACAATGCAATATGGAATGTGAGAAAGTTCTGAAATTTCCTGGCACTTGACTTTCGTTGAACTTGATTGCATTCTTCAGGCAGCCAAAAGGCAGAAACAGTTCTGCCTGTGGAAGGAGATAACCTTCCCCTTACATAACCACTAGAAGGGTGATTCCTGAGCTAGGTCTACTCACTTTCCAACACCCATTGAAAGGGAGAGGGAAATATCCTGCCTATCAGCCAATTACAATAACCAGTTGGGCAGAATCAAACCACTTGACCAGTGGTTTTGGCATTGTTTCTATTTAGCGGTCGGCAAGATGCCTACGTACCTGTGGGAATCTGACCCTCCTGAAGGATGCTGCCAATATAATTCCTCACAGCCTGTTTCTTCTGCAGCCGCCTGGGATCCCAGGCCTGGCTCCCCAGGCAGGAGCAGGCTGCACAGACAATGGCTGAGCTGTAGGACCTCTCGCTCTTGCAGTAGCCATTCAGCCATAGCCTTATTCTGGGGTTAGGGTAGAAAGTCATCTCTCTCTGCTGAGAGATAGCTAAGGGGAAGGCAGGAGAGGAGAACAAAGGACATTTCCAAGTAAGTGCCGACTGAGCCAGGGTCTGTGGAGGTGAATGGGTCACGCTCTAGCTTAGCAGGTTAAACCTCAAGACATCTGCTTGGTGGTAGAGAAACTCATCTATCTCAACCCTGCAACTCTGGCTTCTGGGCAGACGTTGCCAAGTAGCAGCCACAGGTGAAAGTAAGCCATAGATGCACGTGGTTTGGCTCAAATGTTTTGACGATTGTACATTAGTAAAAAAAGCAATCCAAGTTTCTAGCATTTCTGAAAAAGTCAGAAGGTCAGACAGCCCTAGATCCACTCTTCCACCTGGGCGTACTTGACGGGACTGAGTCACTGCTACCCTCTTTAGGTAGGATGT